AGATACATCACCAAAAAAATTAATGTTTAAGTTTATGTAAAAAGTAGTGTCACAGTATTAAGGATTCCAAGATCTCAGACGACACTTTGTAGACAGTCGTCAACTTCGAGGACTCTGAAAGAACTCAAGGTTTGGAAATACCAAATTCAAGTTTCCTAAAATTTTCAAATGTCCTGAAGACAATGACGATACTCAGGAGGTCCATAGGAACTGTGTACAGTATTGTTTTATTAAGTTCGTGAAACTTGATTTCAGCGATACACTCGAGAGTCTTGAAGCTCGTTTCGTCTTTGCCCTCCTTAGCTGACATTCATCGTTGATCCTCTTTCTCAAATGTATATTCTATGATGCTTGATACTATGAAATGGTGATAGAAATTGGATTAAAAGTGTTGCAAAAGCATTAAAGTACAATAATAATATTGTATTTCCTTAAATACTTCCTAAAACTCCATCAGGATACTAAAAGATCCGCAATGTAGCTAAGAAACCTTCGATGATCATTCCAAGATCAAGATAAGAGTTCATCAGAAGTTAGAATTCAACAGAAATTTCCTGTTATATTTCCTTTCACGAGAAAATTTTTTATAGTACGCGGAAGAACCGTTAATTATTCGAAGAATGCACGGTGCAAGAGTGTGATGCGCGACGAGGTAATCACGATAAACCGCGTCGTGTCGTTAAGCTTGTTACCGTAGACGAACAATATCCTGAAATCTCAGCCGCTAAACGTTGTCCACTTAGAGACATGTATTTGTCAAATTCCAGTAACGATAAGCTACTGGACTTAACAATATCGTCCAGATCAAAAGGAGCTATTATATCAGAAGTTTCCACTATTGCACCCTATGTGCCTGCAACCAGTTATTTACTGTATCCTGTTATTATCAGAGTCAGCTAGGACATTGTGTTTATTTCTTGCATTCGGATGTTCATAGAAAAATCCGTTGAATTCATAACAATTTTACGAATGTCACATAGAAGAAATTTAAAGAAAGGAACATCAACAGTTTTCATTTAAACATTATCATTATGCAATTGAGAAACTAATGAACCTTAATTTGAGGTAGACCTAGGCGAATCGCATCGAAACAAGAATTCACTCCGAATTTGTTATATCATAAATTATATTTCTCATTTCCTATTCCTGATTTACAAAAAAGAACTTTAAAAATTCTTTTTTGTTTTCTATTATCAACGTTCAAATATTTTTGTTTCGTCACTGTCGGAAAGATGATCGGATTCGCTTTAATCTGCTCTATTTACGATTTATATTATATTTTACGCGTGCGTAATCAATCGAATTGAATGAAATTGTACAAATAATGACACAATAAGTCATATGTGATTCACTTTAAAGTAAATAAAGTATTGATCCTCAGACAGCACGGAGATAAGAGAGTGGGATAGGCCTCCACCATTGAAATAACTTCGCGTAAGTATGGCGCCTTGGACGGTGCGTTTTAGACCAGCCGCGTATTTTCGTTCGCAACTTCTCCTATAATATCTAATATCAAAGTTTCCACGGAGCCGCGAAGCAGGCACAGATACTCAGAACATCACAGCGACTTTTACCTCTTATTTTTTCCAGAGCTTGTTCCGTATGTTTTAGTTTTCAGAACGAGACCGAACTTAGCGGACCGATACGCGTAAGCGCGCAAATTGGACAATTTTGCATTTATGAATATTTAACTGTTGCTAGAACACAAGGTTAAGTCATTATAACGCCTTTTCTTTGTGACAGAAAATTATCATTTAACAAAGTGTTTTTCTTTAACTTTTAAATGTCTAAGCTACAAACAGGTAGAAGGAATTTAACGCCGTGGTTTTCAAGATTATTCGATCTAATTGCGTTTTCATTTTCTCAGAACTAATTCGTTTGTTTGATTTTTTCTAATATATATATATATATATATATATATATATATATATATATATTAGATATATATTATATAGTAATTCAAGAACATTGTAACTAAATCACATCAGGGTTAACATTAGACTTACGGACGTTTACTGTGCAATTTATTTTGTTGTTGTTCCTAGACAAATTGATGTTCGTTCATTTGAATCTTGGAAATCGGAGGTTTCAAGATAGTCAATAAATATTGTTTATAAAATTTGATATGAGTCAAATCGACGATTTTCCATAAACCTAGCATTAAGCTGTCTACTTCGATCAATTAGTTTCGAAGTTCCTGAGAGCTTCAAACAAGCGCAAACTTCAATTAAGGGAATAACTATTTCAACATTGCTTGTTGCTATACTTATACACAATCATTCTGGTAATTAATCTAGGCCTCAGCGTAAAGAACACTGGATCAATCAAGTTTCCACTCACAAGAACCGTTCTCAGCTCGACGTGGAGTCTCCGGTTTCATGATTCCACGGCATCGATGAACGAAAGTCTTCTTCAAATTTGTTAGTTCGACGAAACGGGCAACAACAATCGATTGTCTATCAGATACACTGTTTCAATCTTCGATCTTCTATAACCACTGTTTCTTAAAATCGCTGAACTGGTCCATTCAAACAACACACTCGCGATGCGAATATATTCGATTTATATGAACCATTTATATTCCAAAGTGATGAACTTCAGAACACGAAAAATAGAAAAATGTAATAAAACGAAATATATAAATTTGCAAAATATTCAACAAGTGGAGCAGATCACTTCGACTCACAAACGGTTTATGTTCGAATCTAACGATTTCAATGATTTTCTTCGCGGTCCTAAACCAGTTAACTGTATTCGACAAATATATTCGTCACCACAAAATTCAAAATAATATTAACTTTTTTCAACAATTACTTACTATTTCCAACAGACATGTAGCCCTTTTTCATTTTACTTAAATTTGTTTATGTTAATATATATTAGGTGCATTTACACCGCATTAACGTATATACTCGTCATTCGTTATTATTGTCACATCCCATGAGAAATTTTTCAAAACTAAATTCCACAGTTAACTAGTTGAAAACAGCCGGTGATGCAACAATCGCACAAGGAATCCCAGTTTCTCGGCGAACAACGACTAACCGGGCAAACCATCTTGTCGCGAGTCCATCAACAATTGGACCGATAAATAACGTTTATTGTCCCTGATTCGAGTTTCCCTTCCCCTTTGTCGCTCGAGACGCTCGGCCGTCCACGAAAATACTGGAGACACGAAAAGACGCGCGACATCGGCAAGTTCCGACGTTCTTACGGTTTATCGTGGCTAGCTTGACCGCAACGCGGCGCAGTGTCCGCTCCATTGTAAGATCTGGAGAAAGGTACTACTTACAGGAACGACTTTCCCGCCCGTGATTCCTTATCGGCCAGTGCCTCCCAACGGTCCTCTTTCTCCCTGAAATCTTTATCGCTCCGGAGATTCTTTTTTATAAATATTTATAATACTAACATTTTTACTAACAGTTCCCGTTAAAAGTATTTGCCGAAGCCAGATACAATATTGTGTATTTGTGTTGGAATGTTGGTATTTGTCAGATCTAATATCTACTTTGGTATTTTGAAAATTTTAGTTTTTAAAATTTTTTTGGTAGCTTGGAGTTAGAGGTACTTAAGAATTTTTATTTTCGGAAACTATTATGAAGGTTGAGATGATAATAATAATTGAAATAATATTTTTCCGTTTTTCTCTTTAGAGCAGTGATTCTCAACTTGGGTATCTTCTAGTATTTGAGCTAGTGGAGCGTTAGGGTTCCAATACTTCCCTAGATTTTTATTGGATTATAATATTTAAGTATTCCACAATAATGTTTTAAAATATTTGAATGATTCATTTTATTTGTAAATACAACTATGTTTACAAATTCAATTGCTTTATTCATGCGACTGTTTACTACCAAGGTTACGCACAGCGCAGTGTCACAAAAGGTGCGTAAGAGCCATTGTTTCGGGTCATTGCATTCGGGGGATAAAAACAAACGCGCACAGGTTAATTTTCCGCACGGAGCCTTGACTCAATTTTCTATTTACACTTAATGGCACCGGTTCCTTACGTAATTAAAAAGTATGGCTTCCCCGGACTAATTTCACGCTCGGTGAATTTCCAGATAAAAATAATTTTTACGGCGTATCGCTCGTTGCATGTGGAAACCAACGGGCAAACGTCCGCGCATTGTGTTAAGCACGTTACGTTCAAATGTACCGACGTACGTAAACAGATGCGCGATGCAATATTTACGTGAACCCACAAATATCCCTAGGCACTGTACAGGCAGCACTTTCACGATAAACATCGGATTCCGGAGAGTATACAATATTGTTGACAATAAAATCTCGTCGGTTGTTGCTGGTGTAATGTAATCGCGCCTTGATGAATAAATATGAGTCCACATGATAAATGCGAATGACACGAACAGCAGTGAATCGAACGGTACGTCACTATCGCTCACATGATTAATTCAATGAATCTTCAATGAATCTTCCTTAGATTTTATTAAAATAACTAACGAGTTCCTCGTATTAATTATGTCGTCCTTTAATTTTAAATTTGATGCATACAACTAACAATGTTAATAGACGCGTGATCTCGCATATGTTGGACCCTTTATGATAGTAATCGATACGATTGACACGCAATCAAGACGCAATCGACTTCCCTAAATATGCATCGTTTGAGCTCTGAAATCGACAACTTAACTAGTCATGGAAATGTACCCATAAAGTGGAAGACGGGTTAACCTCAGAAACATTAACCTTGACATAAAATTTTCCACAGAAATAATGTTTTCACTAAACTATAATTTTCAATACACATTGCAATCTGATTGATTCGAGAAGCCTGCCCCTATTCCCCAGACTTTCTATAGCTAACGTGTCACGGAACCCCGAGGATCAATCTCGCATGCTAAAAGTCGATATATCATTTGTCTATTACCACGACCGATTGCTTCATGCACAAGGTGCGCTTTTGATAAATTGACTTACCGGTCGACGGGTGAAAGTAGAGGATAACCTTCAAAATAAAAAGATATAGGGACACTTACTTAAGGCGTATTGGATATTCGTAGACTGCGTCGCAGCTGGTTACCGGTGAACGTGTCCTGTTAAGCGGTATGTATCCTTGCGAAAATTTATGCCGGCACAGGACGCCGATAACGTATCGCTCGCAATGAATCTGCATTCTTCGACGCGGCGACGACCGGTGGTAACGGTCGCATCAACCGCTTGCCTTTCCCGTGTTTCGACCACTGACAACCCGAAATAATGTCAACCTGATTCCCTATCCGCACGGAGAATGAAAACCCACTCGCTACTTATCATCTCACGCCATCCCATGACGAGGCGCGCGCGGCGTCCCGAGCGCGAGAGATCGATCGAGGTGCAACCACGGGTGACAGTCAATATTCGCCAGGTAAATCCAGAACCCTTCGCTAGATGTCTCTACCGGTACCATAAAACCGATAGCGCGAGTGTTTCCGTTCGGGAGCGCTCCCCTCCACAGAACGGTTTCTTATAATAGATTTATAGATCTATATAAATAAATCAGGTACTTGGAAATCCCTGACATCATTATCGTTACAAACATACCTAAAATCTACAGGAAAAAAAGGCCATTCCAGTGGGTGAATGTACGCATGCGGGATTTTGGTAACAGGCATGTATTTATAGGTTACGTTTACAATGGAGCGACAGGTGCAGGGTAAATAATGACGGATCGCAGTACTCCGTGCGTCGTGTCGCATCACGAGGTGAGATGAGGTCGTGGGCTGCGAAGTAATATCACGCCGCAGAATTTACTCACAAATTCCCGCGCATTTCACATTGTCCAATCCTATGCTGCATCGTTCCCAGCGCACGCTGCACTCTGGGGAGGAGGAGGAGCTCATCTCCAGTCGGCCGAGGTGGGCAAAGGAGTGTCACGGGGCCCGATCGTCGCCGGACGACGATCGGAATTGATTTTCCGATTGGTATTCCGCTCTCCTGCGACCGGGCCGCGCGGAGACGATCGAAGAAGTAGTGGGGTGTCACGGGCGACACGCGAGCGCCGGCATCGGGAACACCGCGGAGAACAGAGCGGTGTCATTCTTCGGGCGCCGATCGCCGCGGCGCATTCATTTTTAGTGAAGGTCTGACTGGTCGGGGGAACTGGAGCGCAGACACGGTGAACGCAAGAGACACCTGTTGCACCATAGAGTAAGCCGGGTAACCGTGGTACCGTGCTTCACAATAACTTTGACAGTGATTTGAATCGGGAAAATCTGGTGGTATTTTGGCACAACTTACGTGATTTTTATTAAATGAAGTTTATAAAGAATGAAGCTTGCAGAATATTTAACACTTAATCCATTTGCATCACAGCTGTAAATACGGCACTAACTTCATACATCTAAGACGTTTAACCGACAGTCAGCCCTTGTATCACTGCGTGACAATAGCGAACTGCTTTGTATGGAAAATATTGCGCGTTCGGGTGATAAATGAAAATCGCGATTCGCGGAATAGTTCGCGCTTGGTGATGAGTGACAATCGTCATGGGCGAAATATTCCTCTTTGGGATGCAAATGGGTTAAGCATCCGGTAATTCTGGAGTATAGAATATCCTACATACAGGACGTTTTATGGAATTGTTTAGTGAAAATCAATTCTGTTTTGATACGTTGAAAACGAATCAATTTAAAAAGTGTATGGAATATTATGGTTATTATATTAAAAATAATCTATTTCATGGGTTGGAAATGAAGAAAACTTTATAGAAAATAAAACTTTACTGACTTTACAGGTTAAAAACGCACTAACGCGTGGCTTGGATGTTACAGTGTTAAAGATAATAGTTTCCTAGTAATCTGTGATGAGATGTATTTTGTGCTTAGTAATTACTGTTAATTCTTTGAATACTTTGGAAAAGGGTAAAATACTTATCCGATATATTACTCAATGTTTTTGAAGGTAATTTAAATTGGAAATACGAATGATATTATTACGAAAGAATTTTTCTTATTTTAGAAAGAAACAATAGGGAAAGAATATGAAATGAGATCTGTTGAAGAAGAAGCAGTTCCTTCTGGTGGAAAATGTTATTTTCCAAATGTTAAATTATGAACGTCTGCTTTAATACGAATCATTCAAAAATTGCATTGACGTTCTCATTTTAGATCTAGGAACCAGTACGAATTTTGTAAATACGAGAAAGTTGATTTTTTGCCAAAATGCCGTTAAATTCTTTCGATCCGGTCACTCCGATCCTCCCCGCCGTAAATTTTATTTGCGAAGTGAAACGACAGGTTCGTGATTCGCTTGTAAAGCGAAACCCACCACCGTGGTTCGTTTGCAAAGTGAAACAATCGTCGACGGTTTTCGTTGACGAAGTGAAAGAGGCTTCGCGAACAACTCGAGGGTATTCCTAATCATATCGCTCTTGCGCTAGGTTGTGGGCTGCGGTTTATGTCCAGTTTGTTCATTTTTATCATTCATTGCTTCATTATTATTATTCAATCTACTATTTTTGAATTACCGAACATGTAATTTTATATTATTAAATTTTGGTGTATTTGTACGCTATTCTTTGATACCTTTTGATACGTTTTGATACTTTGAAATATTATATTATGAAGCCACTATGGGCTTATATCTTTCAACTACCAAATATTATTTCATTTTCTCATTTATTTATAAATCTCATTAACCTGTATTACACTGGCAAAATTTAATTTTGCTAAAATTAGTATTTATAGTCCAAAAGTCAATTGATTGATGGTTTAATCCTTGCTACCTCAGAACATTTAAAATACCGGTGTTATTGAACTTCAGTATTTCACTGTTATTATCATCAGTATCGTTTTTTATAGATAATAACAAATCAGTTTTTTCACAGTATTCACCTAAGCATTGCTAAAGAAACCTTCAACGCTAAATTGATGATAGTAGCAGTATTTATCATTTAAGTCACAATTTTCCCGTTGTAAAAACGTGTTGAAATTGCATGTCCGTAGATCTGGAAAAAAGTGGCCGCGGGTAGGGGAAGGTGCGCCGGACCAAGGAAAGTGACGCTCTTCAACCCTGATATTAGAAATAGACGACAGTCGCGAAGAGACACGTGTTGCAAGCGCGGAGAAATTAAACGATCGATCGAGTAACCGTGTGAACCGCGTGAACCGGAAGTGTCGGCCATGTTGAAGTCATTAAAACTGGAGGACGACCAGTTTTTCGCGCTGAAGAAGGTGAGTGTGCGACCTTAGCCTTCATCCTGCGAACGTTAGATCACTTTGATCCGTTGCTTTCAATTGCTATTCTGCAATTAACTGTCAACGCTATAACGTTAACCCCTTGCACGGGACAATATTTTTTATTATAAATATTCGTTATTTTTCAGATATTTCATGATATGTTTTGCAGCTAACATAAAGACAAGTTTTGCATAAATTGGGGATTAAAACTATTTTATTTCAATGTTAAATATTAACATTTTACCAACTGGTAGCGGTAAATAGTAGCCGATTAATCGGCTACCGGTCGGTAAAATGTTAAATTAAATAAAAATTTAATATTGAATTTTAAATGTTATAATTTTTGTGTGTTGCATCAAATGGTGACTGAGAATCGCCTCTCGAGTGCAAGGGGATAATTAAGATTGGTTTACATTGCCATAGCGTGAATGGTCCAGATTTAGAAACAATTTTGAGAAACTAGCAATTAGATCAAAATAATTTTGAACCGTGTGATATTTATTTACTATTGATATTTATTATAGTAAATGTTTACTATGTTGCTCGATCACTTGCTATTTAGAATAAATAATATGGATTAATATTTATAAATCCATAAATATTTTCCCTTAAAGATAGTAAACAAAATTTTTTTCAAATTTGCTGCTGGGGTATTGCTCAGTTAAGGATAGATTAAAATAACGCAAAATTCAGTGATCGTATTGTTATTTAATGATGCGTTGTTGGAGAACCGCAAAATATGCGATCCTGAATGGAATGCTGCAGTATTTGTTAGTCGGAGAAAGATGTAGGAACTGACTTTACTAAGTTCTGAGTTGTAAACCAAAATGGTACGGTTATTTGCATACTTAACATTTCAAGAAATATTTACATACATCTAGCAATCAAGTACTCATATTTAACAAAAAAAAATATTTATTTTTAGAATTTGCAGTACAATACAAATCACTTTTATTTCTGACACTTTAACGACTGGTAACGTTTACGTGCGACTTCGCTTGTAAAAATTCCCACGTGATCTATTTGTATACATTTCATGCCAATAATATCCAACTACGATTTGTCCAAAAATAGATGCCGTCCGTTCCGTTCACCCGCCTTTCATCGAACTTTCACGCAATTATGTCTTTATATTATTCAAAAGTATCAACCGGTGTTTAATCAGCATCCGGGAGTATAAAAAGAATATCTCGTATCCAAGCTCTCAGCTGGTTCAACGAACCTCCCCCACTTGAGACCGATCATTCTGAAGTTGAATGGAGACAAAAACTGTTTCTTAATAACGAGGTTGCAATATTCTTCTCGATAATTCGTACAATGATATCTCTAGTAGTTCCCAAGGGAGGCGCTTGCTTATTAGGACATCGCGTGGTAGCTTTTGCTTATTACTGGCGAGATGCTCGAAGCGTGGAAACAGGAAGAGACAGTAAGATGTTCAGGATCTTATCAAAAACAATATAACGAATTACGAATTCCTAATGAATCCTAAAGATTGCTAGGAAAAGAGATATTTCTACTCTTGGTTCTTTTTTCTATACTACAATTCTTGCACATTTGCCTTTTTCTTTCAAACTTCGTTTAATTGTTATTTTCCATTGTTTTCGTCGATATCTAGAATAAATATCCATTTTTTTTCGCAACCCAGCACGCAATAGCGTAAGCAACTTTGCTGCGACTTCTGTAAACAGGATATCGTTGTGCATCGAGCATCTAAATGCGTTTCGCAACTGATTTAAATAATTCGTGTAAACGTTGGAGAAGAAGGATACTAGGTACAGCAAATTGTAATATACGAAGAGTTTCCTGAAGAGAGAGAGAGGGAGAGAACGCTCGTTCATAGCCGACTTCTGAAGAAGAGTAAATCTCGCACGGTGCGGATCGGATAGTGGAAAACGTCGTCCTCGGTGTACTACAAACATAACAAGATGCTTGGAAAGTTCCATTTTACGTCATTTTAATAAAAAATACGGAAGTTCTTCTTAGAGAATGACAAAGAACTTCTACAGTATACTTTTCTTCGTAGTCATAATCAAGTCGGCGTCCAGTTTTATTTATGCACTGGGCGATCGATTATTAATGCCCAGAGCTATTAGTCATAAAGGAAGTAACTTAACACTTTCAAAGAGAATTGTTACAAACGGTGTTTAATATTCGTTTTATGTAACATTCATTTTACATTTTCATTTCTTCCTCTTCTATAGAGGATTATTCATTCAATAGTAGTCACGCTAAAAAAGGAATAGTCTAAGGGTCTGTAGAGTCAGTCATTAGCTAAATCGGCCAATTTCACGAAACAAAAAGTAGAAAAATCTAACATGATAATGTACGTTGATTTTGAAAACTTCTCTTTGAGCAAAAAATCAAATAAACATCGTGTATTATTAACCGTTTGCGCCATCGCGTTTCACTCGTTTCAGCTCAGAAACTGAATTACGCTTTTTTATTTTTACATTAAAAAATTGTAAATGGTGCGATCGTTCCATTTTTCCATTTCTAAGCAGGAAATAACAAAAGTAAATAATTAGAAGGAAAACATACAGATAAAGTTAATTTGATTGAAGTTATAAAATATTATTAACACAATGTTGACCGATCACGAGTTAACTCCTGTTTGTGTATTAGCTGTTTCAATGTTTGAAATGCAGGGCAATATAGAATATTGCAAAAGAAAAATATTAGAAACTATATAAAAGATATATCCAAAGTTTCATTTCAATTCATTATGTATATAAATAAAGTATATTGAAATTTATTTAGATAGTTTCACTGTTATATTTAATTATGGAATAACAACCGGTGGCATGGAATAGCTTTTGCGTTAACCAGTTAAGTGCATTTGACGAGTATACGCGTCATCTTAAAGCTTGAAATGATACTAATTCTTTCAACAATGAATTTCTTATTTTTTCAAATAAACATGTAATTCTTTTTTGTTCTGTTTTGATTTTTCATTAAAATATATCCTAGATGCTTTCGTCTTGCGTTTGACGAATACACACTTAATTTTTTTATTTTATTGCACATAAAACGAGAGGTTATTCAAACTAAGTTCCACAGTTAACAGGTTAAATTGCCGGTCAACAATACGTTAATATTTTATTATTAATATTTTATTTTTTAAAAACAACGGTAGTCCGTATAATACGTAAGCACCAATTTCTCTTTAAGAATCGGTTAAGGGGGGTCCAGCGAACGTCTTTCCCAGGCAGCCGCTAACACAGGCAACGATTTAGACGCGGCTTTCGTTGTCGGCGAACGCGTGATTACCCGGAAGATTTCTCCCCGATGATAATCACTTTATCATCACGGCGGAACGCCTCTCGTCTCGGTGATTTCTTCCTCGTGTCCGACATCCGGCCGCGGTTCACGTGAATCCGCGCTTTTTACCGGCACCGTCACGCGAGCGACGATTTCCTACAATGTTTTTCCTGCGCGGCGATCGAAAGGGAACGGTATCTGGGAGTAAAACGGCACTTTCTTTACCCTGTTGCCTCTACGCACCGCACCAGCCAGCTGAAGATTAACTACGGTCGTTGGCACACATCGTAGATTCCGGATCAGGCACCCATAGGATGTACACGGTGATCCAAAATTGTTGGAACTTTGATGATCCTCGATTCGAAGGGTTTTCTTTTGTAACTAGATTGTGGATTCTTATGGAAATTTGGATGTTGAAGAGTGTAATTAAATAAGTAGAGTTGTTAAAAACTGTTCGAAATTCGGTTTCTTGAGTATTAAACTATCAGCAATTAGAGTGACTTATTTGCAATTTTTTATAAAAATTAGTCTCTTAGTCTTGTATTTGTACAGATACGTAAGTTTAATTGAGAATCTTTCGCAAAAACTTCATAATTTAAATACTTACGAAACAAAAATTGTAAAGTGGGTTGATTTAACCCCTTGCCTTACAACGCGTCAGACTCTTGGTGGAGATTTTAAATAGAATTGAACGGGTATGGACATGATTGCATGATTTTGAATTTAAATTAAATATTAAATTTGAATTAATATATCTACATATAGAAACAATCGAGTATTTTAAAATAAAAATTTAATAACAGTCAAAAAGTACAGTTGGTCATCAAATGGACTTGCAAATTTTCAATTTAAAAACTGAAATATTTTCTAATATTGACGCCGATAGAAATTTTTTTTTAATTGAATGTAGCTCCATTCGTACACCTTGTATGCAAGAAATTCCTCCAGCTTCGGACGCTTATACATAATTTACTCTGTGAGAATCATAATTTACCGGTTTGAGTCTTCTGAAGAAATTTAGAACAACGTAATGTTCGAAGTACGCGATACGATGATGCATCTTTTTTACGCATATACTTGTGTAAAGATATTAAATCGTCCGCAGTGAACATGTTATTGGCGATATGTCTTTATCGCGTGTAGATCAGAAGAACACACAGTGATCGAATAATTACTATGCACATATTCGATTGAATCAGACCGATGAGTTTATATCTTCCAACGAATGCGATTAACCTTTGATAACAATACGTGTTGACCGCCGAACAAACACTGATCACAATTCTCATACAGTCGAAACATTGAATTCTTAACACTAGAACTATTGAGCAGTCAAATCGACTTCTTCAATTTTTTCTATAGAAACTCTAATTTTTTCTCCAAAATCTCTCTAATAATACAATTTATTGAAATTTCAGTGGATTTGTAATACAAATACAAATTTTGTTCCGCGAGACTTTATCGAATTTCTGAATTAATTGTCAGCGCAAAAAGTTAACACCTTCACGACTTCTGACGTCAATTTGCGTATTTTCAAATAGGCATAACAACTGTCAAAATATTTTATTCTGCCGCTCTTTTTCATTTGTGACTTCTTTCACGGAAAGTCCTTCATTTCAAACAACAGGTCGTTGCAAGATAAATATTTTAAAAGAAATTTTTGAACTCTTGTCCCTGTTTTAACGTAAAAAATGTGCAACAATCAGCTTAAATTTTCTTCATTCTCAACAGTAATGGGTATTAACAAAGAGAAAGATTCGAATCGCAAATGGGTCAACTACGAATGGGATGTTTTCCAATAGAATATTCCTCAAATCGATTCTTTCTATATTTTCGTCCGATTCGGTTCTTCAAGCGGTGCGATCGAGTAAAACGAGGTCATTTTCTTAATTGCTGCAATTATGAGAATCTTGTAACGCAGGCCCTGTGGAAAGACACACGGATCTCCTGTGTCTCGTGCGACACAGTAACGATTCTCCCGAAGAAATAGAACCGGTTAGACCGATAGGTGAGGTAATCATTACGTTATGTCGCGAGATCTTCTCATCTTTCGTATTTTCCATCGATCATTCCGTCGTGTTAAGGCCCCGCTGCTTCGTTATTGTCGAATAAACGAAAAAGCGTAAATTAACTCTTTGAACACAATTGTCTTCATATTGACGACATCAAATTTTGATATTTAGAACAAACAAATTCGAAACAAGTGATTTTGTTGCTAAATACCAAAAGATCAGTCTACAGTTTCCTGTTTTCTAATATGTAAGAGTTGAACAGGTAAATTAGCTTCTCATAGCAATGGTGTTTAATATTTTTAAAAATTTTCACATGCAAAAGGGTTAAGTTTCAATAACTAGCTGAACAAGAAAAGAGAATCTTTAATAAAGTAACAAACATTTCAATATAAAATATAACAACAGTAAACAGAAAATTTAGAATCAAGTTAATTAGTAACCAGGGTAAAAGCTATTAGCTCAATTCCCATTTCATTAAAAAAAAGTGAACATTCCTCTTTCTTACCGAAGTATATGAAACAATTCTCTTTCGCAAAACCTTTAACACTAACACTAACGAGCAGTTAAATTGACTTTTTGAAATTTCTCTATAGAAACTGCAAAAGTACCTCTATTGAGACTTTAATTGATTTATAATTCAGTTTGAGTACTGCTAAATCAATTTCTTTAATAACTTCTCAGAGCAACATCTGTTATTTTTTTAATAATTGGAAAAAAAGACATCAAGAATGAGTCATTTTGACCCATCCGGTAGTTTTAGTGTTAACACCCAACAATCATAATTCAATATTTTTGTAATCATCGCAAACAAGCGAATTCCATTTTACAAACAGAGAATCACAGAAACTGGTTATCCCCGATATCGTTTTCCCTTTATTTTTCAAATGACGAAGCGAATTCGCGGTTCCCGGAGCGAAACGGTTGACGTGCCGATTGAATTCAGGTTTGCGAAAGAATGGTTAACGAATTCGTGGGTTTTCCGCTCTTTTTTTACCCAAGTTCTTTTTTTTCCCTCTCGTTTATCGCGGAAGCGGTGTACCTACGTACACGATACCGCAATACGTACACCGTTAGATCGTTGGCGTGTGTTTCGGACAAGTGTAACCGGATCGGCGCGGCGGCCTCGCGAAAAATTTCACGTGAAAGTAAATGGCGGCCGGTGGTTTTGTAAACGACATCGCGAAACTAGCGTTTTTCTTTCGGATCGTTAAACCTCGTCGAAGTAACTCGTTGAAAAAAGATTCGCCTCTTAAAGATAGGATGCGGGCAGGAAGCGTTCGGTGGCCTGTTCGCCGTACCGATCATTGTGCAATATTGCGGAAAACGTTACGTTCGAATCATGTTCGAAACATTATCCTGCTAGTAGCTTGTCTACGTTGGACAGTGTAGAGCACGCTTAATGACACCACTATGCTCTAATCTTCTACTCTGTTACTTAGTATGTACGACAGTGAATGTGAATGTGAGTTGAATCGCATACAGTCGATCGCAGAAATCTTTCGCTGAGTTTCAGGTGTTCGGGGCGGATAAACTGGAGTTTTGAGCAGTTTATGAATGTTTGTTGATTCATAAGTTAATGCATTATCTGATGGCTATTTACACACGCTGAACGCCATAGTCCCTGATGATTAGTTTCCAAATTGCTTGGAAATAATTATAAGAAGCAAACGGACAACGAAGGAAAGAATTTAGTCTCATAAGAAACTAAGTAGTAACTGGAAAACTGTGACACCAAATTATTAACAATCATTATTAAAAATAATTAATCATTTATTAATCGTTATTATTAATAAATGATTTTATATTAATAAGTAATTTTTCATCATTTATCGACACAATTAATTGATAATTAATTATTGATCATTAAGGTTCGTTTATTTACAACTTAGAAATTGGAGGTTTAAAAATAAACAATTAGAATACATACTTGTGTAAACACAAATTGCAGTGTTAATGATATTTTACAACCTATGATTAACGCCTGAGGATGTAGGTAATTGCAACTGTGAATCGACAATTTTTTGAATAATGTGACATAAGAATTCCATTTTAAGTTACTGCTTCAATGTAGATATTGAAAAGTTAATTAATAGGCTTATTAAAGAATGTTTTCAAATATTCATAGAAGCATTGTTTACTCGTTATTGCTAATCACCTTTTACGTATGGTAAATTGCATCATCGAGTATATACGCTATAATATACTGCAACAGAAAAACACGTTGTGTAACGAATTTAATGAAATAAACAGCGACATTAATTAAGTTCTTATGAAGTTTGTTTGCCACGATAATCGTATTAAAAACGTGAAACTAAGGTTACAAGGAATAATTTCTCGATACAATCGCAATACGTGGAATCCTGCGGATGTTGGCTTCAGTGGCGCAAATCGGAATAACAAACGCGAATTTTTGGTTTCAGTTTAGGCGGTCAGTTGAGGACATTCTGCAGCCGCATCACGACGATTACTTTCTACTGCGTTGGCTCCGAGGTACGACCAGTTGAAATTCGCCGCAATAGTTTCGCGCAATTGCCCAACGGTTGCACGCGTCAAGTGCGTGCTCGTCGTCGACGATACTCGCTTTGGCGCGCGGTCTCGATAGCGTTTAGATCGGCCGATTGACGATAAAATCTGATTGACGACTGTAGTGAAGTCAACCGGTAGAAATGCTCCGGTTCATTCATCGCTTTTAAATACTGTGTCAGATCCATGGCAGGAATTTCAGAAAGAATTTTCAAAATAATTCAAAAGAATTTAAATTTTAAATACCATTTGATGAATATAATTTCTTCTGTTATTGATTGTTGATCTTAATATTATTGAAAACTTTTTAATAAGTATTTCAAACAATGTATGAAAACAGAGCTTAATATGTTTTTCTAATAATATATTTTCGAGTTACTTCAAAATTGAAATTTAAAAGGATTAATACAGTGCAAGACTTTATCAGTGTCAGTACCGTATTGATTGATTAATCGTTAATTATATATGAGATAGCTTATCGAATTTATCAAAGTTCCGATACAATTACTTTCAAATGATATTCCCCTCATGGTCCGAATCTGTACAATATTTTGATGACTGTACTGTTCGATAACGATTCGATATTTTAATAAACATGCAATTTCTTTTTTTTTCAGCGAGAAAATGGGACCCGGCCGCTGCGGAGAAGATGCTACGGGACGTAAGTCTGTTATAGAAATAGTCTCGAGTATTTCGTTTCATAACAATTGCGTAGGAAATCCGTTACTTTTATGTATTCGGTAAAACGGTGAAGCAAAACAGGGATTCGGTACACTGGTCTCCGCTTTCAAAAAAATCTTGACCAATCGCTTGTCGGAAGCGTGACTGGTGTACGAATGTTCGACAAAAGTAGTCCTCTCGTAGAGATGAACCACATTATTACAAAAAATAGAAAATTATTCTAAGCTAATGAAAAAAAGAAACAAAAGAGAATCAAATAACAAAGTTGATATTTAACTCTTTGCAATCGTAAAACGAGCTATACCTAAAAGAACACTTCCACCGTTCTAGTCGTTCAAAATGAAAATAATGAAAATATTTATTATAAGATATCAATAAAAATGGAAGAATTAAAATATTCATTATAAATTACAAATACAAATGAAAGAATGAAGATACTACAACCGCAAATTTTCAGAATAATAGATAGCAATTTGTACGATTCGATTCAAAATCAGTTACGATTCCCAATAACTTGAAGATTATCTATGTTCGATATCGATTAACTATTCTAAACATTTTAAGCAAGAGAAGTTTCCATACAATTACAGATTTCATAAATGAATCCGTGAAACGTGCATAAAGATCCGCAATCCACTAGCAAATACTCCGAGTGTGTTCTGCATGATCAGTGGTTCATAGAGACAACACGAGCAGCCATTAATCCGCGAATAATTCCGAAAGAAGAAGCCGGTTCAGAAATGTTGCAACGACGCTAAACTTTCGAGAAAGGCCGCGTGTTTTCTGTGCCGAAGGATCCTTGTCTCGAAATCGTGGCCATAATTGCCGAGATTCGCGTGTCTCAAACATCAGATTATTCCGCTGATCAGTCATCAATAGATTACGGATGTTTATGGAAATTCAAATTTTCAAGCACATAATCAAACATATTCAGTATTCAAATATCCATATTTTCAATTGTCCATAGTGGTACACTGAATCTTTTATAGAAGTCTGATTATTCTTCTTATATTCTTCTTCTTATTTTTTCTGTCAGGTATTAATAATGTTTTTTAGAATATTTATATTTATTATAAAAATAGAATTATACTTTCATTTTTCAAATTTCCCACAAATGCATGAAAATTTGTAATGTAATAATAAGGTTATCATAATACAAGCAATAGTTCTTTTTTTCGAAAGTGACCTAAACATAAAATCTAAACGAATTGTCTTTATCAATTATATTATATCACTCTTGATTCTAAGGTAGTGCTTCAAAATCAACTGCTGAAGTTCTCAGTAATCTTCATGCAAATTCAGATTTATTAACTGTATGAATGCCAAGCGGCGTACTCGAGCTTCTCAGTTACACTGCTTAGAAGTGCGAGCCTATCAGTTCGTAGAATCAAATTAAGTTCATTTATTTGTTTTCCTTCTAATTATTTATTTTTATCATTACCTGCTTAGAAATGGAAACATGGAACGATCATACTATTTGGAATATTTTAATGTAAAAACAGTACAGCGTAATTCAGTTTCTGAGTTGAAACAAAACAAACGCGATTGCGTTGCTTGGCACTGCGATTTTTGCGAATCTGCTACTGAAAGTCTGATCGTCGGTGATTGATTCCATACAGCTTTGAACATCTATAAAATCGAAATATTCAATTTATAAGAAAGAACAAGGAAGATGGTTTTCAATTTTCTTTTAGATTTGTATTGTACATATCTAGAATGTCATAACAACGAAGAATCGACGGTTAAGCGATGATCTATAAATTATGCAATTACACGAAACAAGCATATAATGCGGTAATATAAAAGATAGTTGTTTCCTAACAAATATTGCAACATGGATTTTGCACTTTCAAATTTCCCATAAACGCATAAAAATCCGCTAGTCATCAGCCTTTCCCGCCACACTCCGCGGACGCGGGCAATTGAGAAAGCCCCGCGGAACACGTTTCTCGTCCTGGTCACAGTTATTCTTCAAAATTTCGCTAGGTTTGCCGACAACCGAGACAATCGGTTGTAAAGAGGCGGTTTCACCGAACAGCCGGAAAAGATTCAATCTTGCTACCTTCTACCACAGATTCAATCTTGCTACCTTCTCTTGTTGCTTGTTGCAAAGAGAAGAAACTGGCCGGTGCTTTGGTAATTGAGCGTTAAATTGATTGGGGAATTATTTTTACAGCCGGAAGATGGGAAACCTGGGCCGATCGTAAAACCGTTGAGGACGGTATTCAATTTACACTTCGGGTATGATGAGCGCGGAGAAAGTGAAGCCAGTTGTTTGAAGTGCAAACGCTGCAGCGTCAGGCTTATTGTTTGCTAATTGTTGAATCTCGTTTCGGCTCGGGACGACTACTTTGTCAGCGTCGGAAAATAGAAATTATCCTCTTTCGTGTTTGTCGCTGAAAGAATGTTTGAAGAAACGCATATCGAATGGTCAAAATATTTGTCTGAACGCGAGAACTAGCAGATAGGTCGAAATGACTCGTTCTTGAATTCGTCTTTTATAATTACTGAACATGTAATAAATGATTCTGTGAGAAATTATTGGGGAAGTTGTTTGCATAATGTGTAAACTGAATTATAAATTAGTCGAAATTGTGATAGAAACACTTTTAGAGTTTCTGTAAGAAAATTAGTAAAAGGCAATTCGACTTTTCGGTAGGTTTTAGTGTTAATGTATTGTATTTACCGCAGAATGAGATGATGAACTAAAAATTTGCAAAATTCATGAAACTTAAAATTTTAATAATTGATTTGAGCTATTTCGATTTTCTTTCTTTTTTGTTTTTTCCATTCTTTGCTCTACTGCGTTGTTTAATTTATTCAGTTCTTACTGATCAATATCTACAGCAATAAAATTGAACCTGTTGCGTTAAGCATGGCGGTCAAATACTGGAATTACGTGTAGAAATCACGGGCAGATTGTGAAAGAGGCGGCCCAGCGTCCGGTAAACACACCTGTAACCCTACCCTGCGTCGTATCGTTGCCGAATGCGATGATTAATGGGCCGCGGAAAAAATATGAGAGATTTAGTACACCAGTTCGGCCACACGAGCCGATCGTTGACATTAACACTTTCTTGTTCGACAGAATCCCGGATATTGCAACTAAATATGTTGCAACTGTATTCCCTTTCTATTCGAAACGCAATGCTGGCATTCAATTTCGCAATGATTATCTTTCCTAACTGGACTAGAAACCAATTTTCTCACAGGAAGTTGCCAGAAACAAATAATGCGTATTTGATACGTTATTCGTTTCTACAATACGCTACATCTTGTTCAATTGAAAAGGATTGAAATATATAATAATCATGTTCAATTAGAAAGGGCTAAAATTATAATAATGATATTCAATTAGTAAGAACTAAAATATATAATAATCATATTCAATTAAAAAAGACTAAAATATATATTGTTTGAAGTTCCAATTGATGTGTACTAATTTTTTAAATTTGAAGTGTAATGGTCATAGCACCTTTTATCAATGAACTACAACGCAAGACTTAGGATTAGAATTAAAAACTTCATTGATAAATTGCAATTAATTTACAGCATGAATTATAGATTTCTTATAATGTTCTATTTAATTAGTCTTTCGAATGGCGAAAACAATGGGAAGTAGAAAAGCTATCCGACTGGGAGACACCAGAAGTTCTGGAGAAATATTTGCCTCATGGTCTAAGCGGGTTCGACAAAGATGGCGCGCCAGGTTTGTTTATAAATAAATTAAAAATGGAAATTGATGTGAAAAATAGGTTTACAACGTTAACATTCGCACAGTGATCGTGGTGTACTTTGATGCGCTTGACTTATACGGCATATTACATGTGGTCTCCCGGAGGGAGATGATAAAGGTCACTATAAAACATTTAGAGGAGTATCTAAAGCTGTGTCGGGAGCAAAGGGAGAAGCACGGTCCAGATGCTGGACAAGTGGTCGTGATTTTTGATATGCAAGGATTCAATCTGAGACAGTACCTCTGGCGACCAGGTAAAACCGCATTAAGGTTATTATGACAGTTTCTGGATCCTTTCGAATCACCATTACGAAAGACTTATTTCTGGAATTGATAAACTTTCTTTGGGCTACAAAACAGAGTATAAAAATATACGAAACAGTTGCATAAGACAAGGAACATTATATGTTGAGCTAAAAACTGATAACTTGACGAGGAGTTATCTAACTCTAGAGTGCTACAATTACACTAATAATCTTCTCACATTTATCCTTTTTGTTTGAATAGAATTTCAAAATTCTTTAAAAATTTATCTTTTGCAAATCAATATTTTTATTTTGAATTATATAGAAGAGTGGTTATCTTTAACAAGCTGCATGTTCTTCTTTCTCTCTAGCTGGGGAAGTAGTCATAACGTTACTCCAAATGTACGAGGCTAATTATCCTGAGATATTGAAAACTTGTTATATCATTAATGGTAGGTGTCATGATGTAGTTTGCCAAATAAATTACTGATGTTTTATTACGTGGATGTTGATGCTTGCTTCCACTCGGTTGCAGCCCCAAAAGTATTTGCATTCGCGTTTTCGGTTGCGAAGAAGTTTATGAATGAGTATACTCTGTCAAAAATTCAGATATACAAGGCTGAACCTTCAAAATGGCAAGCTGCAATATTTAGCAATGTAGAAAGGGACCAAGTACCTGCCTTCTTCGGGGGCACCCTTAAAGACCCGGATGGCAACCCAAAACTTGGCACAAAAGTACAATAATTTGAAAGTTACATTTATTCTTATTGATTGCACTTTGCATTTAAGGTCTTTATTGATTTAAAATTTTTATTTTATTCAGATTCGTTTAGGTGGCAAAATTCCGAAAGAAATGTACGTGAATAATATGGAAAAAGATAAGCAGGTTGATTTCACTACAACAACGATACGAAAAGGTGGAAAACTGGAGCTGGACATGTATGCATCAGAAATGGGATCTTTGCTAAGGTATGACGTGACTAAGTAATTCTAAGTGTCTACATATGGTGCTGCTAGTAAATAGTAATCGTTTTAAGATCGTACATGACCCCTTAATACTTTTAGTTGGGAATTCCGATGTGATGATCATGACATTAAATTTGGTATCTTGAAGAAGGACACCAATGGGTCAAAGAAGGAAATTATACCAGTCCGAAGAGTAGCTGCCCATCAGTTAGATGAAATTGGAATCCTTACTTGCGAAGTACCTGCTACTTGTAAGTAGACAGTATTTTAATATGTCAATATATACCAATAATAATGTGTAAACATTTCACCTATTTCAGATACAGTCATTTTTGATAACAGTTACAGTTTTCTAAGAAACAAGAGAATTCATTTTTCCGTGCGGGTGATACCACCGGCAGAATCGCAAGAAATGACACCAGCTTCATGATGAACTGGAATTAGAAATGAATGACTTCAATGAAAATATTCTCTAGTGAATCGTTAGTACATCATAGAGATCAATGATCCAGTTGTCTTACTCTTTTTTAAATAATACTGTTATCTAAGTAGAAAAAATTATATTTTTGTTATACAAGAGAATCTTACAAATTTGATGTAAATAATTTATTTGCTCATTCCTTAAGACTACCTTTTATATGTAATATTTCATTCCACTTCTCAATTGTATTAAGAGTTTAAGTTTTTTTAATTTTAGTGTTATAATTGTTACCATATTATAAATTTATGGTGCTTATACATGCATTATTATTTAAGTATAGACTATTTGTATAAAAAATGGATAGGAAATTTTACTGTGGTTTTATAATAATAAAAAAATCAATATCATGGTAAACAACTTTGAATATAATATTTATCTTTGAGGACTTACAGAACTGCTTGGTTTAAACTTCATTAGTCCAACAAAGCTGCATTATTATTTAATCATCTTCATCGGTGAGTAACATTTCAATGAGATCAACTTTTAGACACTCATTTCCTTCAAGACGTTTTTGCGTACCCCATCTTGCTAATGTTGGCAATACTTTTAACTTGGTTGTGGAATTTGTTCGAAATGGACAGTTCAAGTCTTTCCAACTTAAATAGGAAAAAGAAATAATATATTATTTTACAATTTATTCTTGTATACATGTAAGATAAGGTATACTGTAATTGACATGTTACTGACACTGTTAATGACACTATTATATGCATGCATGCATTAATTAACTTATTTGAAAAATATTGTTACTTACAATGGTCGATCACCAACTTGTACTGTAACTAAGTGTGCTGATTCGGGAGCTGTTTTAAAACCTTCTTCTATAAAAGGTTCCGCTGTAACAAAAATAAAATTTACTTGTACATTAACATAGACTATTGACGTTCGATTATGAAAGTAATTTAAATAAAATATTATTTTCGTTAGGAAAGTCTGTTATAGCATATCACGTTAGGTTATGGTTAAAACAAATGACAGTATCTTATTATCGATACCTTCAACACAGTCGGGACACCAACTTTTCCCATTAGGAAGTTTTGTACCACTATAAAGCACGTAAACCGGTTCGGAAGCCTTGAAATTTTCCATAAATTTGAAAAAGTTTTCGTATCCCTGCACAGCGTGACGCACAACCATCTTTCACTCTTTTTTTATTGACGCCGCAATTTTAAACTTAATTCGCTGTTCATATACTACAAATTAATGTATAACGACTTCTTATCAGTATTAAAATGGCAACATCTACGGTGTGAGGTACTTTCGGCTGATAACACTCTTATTGATAAGAGAGTACTTCGACAAATTATCAAATTCCATGTAATTGTTATCCACTTAGTCGACACACCGTTACCATTAAATTGAAAAGTTTATCTGTTAAATATAACTACAATTTTATAATATGCGTTTCTTTTAAATGAATTTTTCATATTTGTAACACAAAATTAATAACAATAATAATTGAAATATGATGCGAGTGCACCACGATTTAAATGTTTCCTTACGATCCTTCTTCCTTTTTAAGGAAAAGAATAATATAACGTGACGTTTTAAAACGGTACTCATTAACCAAGTGTTAAAAAATCCAAGAATCTTCATACAATTAGATGATAAGGGTTATAATTTTATTTTTATCATAATAAGACCTTGAACGGAGGAAATCAATTTCTATTTAAATACTCCGTAAATCAGTCTGCGTAAAAGTCAATTTGCTTGGTTGTCGGGGATCTACCGACAGTCATTCGTATTAGCGTCATTAGCTTCCGCGAATGTATCGTGCTCTAACAAATAATTTCAAGAATGTCAGGCATTGTAGTCTTTTTGCATTAGTGTAGCCATGACATTCAAACGGACCGCGCAGGTTGAACCGAGATGCAAACTTGGCAATAGCGCCCGATTGTTCCGTGGTTGTCAATTCCTCGTTGGATTTTCATTGGTAGAGGCAGCGTGCCCTCCTACTTCGATGACCTCGCGATGACGATACTGTGCAGCCAATCAGCGGACACACAAGGCGAGGGTGTTTGGTATGCCCTGGGACGGGGCAGCTTGTTCGCAGTAATTCAAGGTTTTGGCCGTGTAACAATATTGTCGTGGTCGATCATTTGAAAGGAAATAGTTCGGCATCGTGTCGATCATCGAATTTTCCCTCGGTTTTGGAACAAATTGTGCGTAGAATGGCCGGGGTTTTCGACATCGAGTTGCACGATGCGGCCACGGTAAATAGGGACGAGTCGGACGACGATGTTATCGAGATCGGCGAGGTAATTCACCATCTGCACGCGATATCATCGCACTGCTCTCGCACCTTATTGTTCCCCTTACAACTTCCATTTCGCACCCTAACGCTTGTATTTCTCATTTCCATGTAGGAGGAATATGACGCGAACCCAAACATGAACGAAATCACCGAGTGAGTAAGCCTTTGCCGTGAGTTGGCGTGTGCACGACTACTCGTGTCTAGCCCCGAGGTAATGACAATTTTCTGTTTGCCAGATCGGAGGGTGTTGAGAAAGTACCAATATCGGAACAGAATGTCAATCGAGGAAGAGAAAGAGCTGGTCCTGAGGATTTCGAACTTTGTAAAGTTATCGGGAAGGGTGGTTATGGCAAGGTCTTTCAAGTGCGTAAAATAACGGGTAATGACAGTGGCACGATCTTTGCGATGAAGGTAGGCCAGATCCGATGGTTTATTTTCCTTTCTTTCTTTTCTTGATGAATTCTTATATTGATGACACGGGAACCCGATTCAAAATTTCGATCGGTTCCTTGTGTTTTAAAACGTTTATTTTCATGTTTTGGACGGAATTATATAAGTTCTTTGTTTCTGTCTCTTTGTACATTGTTTTGAATAGCTGTAATTTTTTGTTGATTTTTAACTCTGATATATAGCTTTATTGATTCTTGATTTTTGATAACTTAGGAAAAATAAAATACAAGCGGTAAATGAAAAATTTATTTAGTTGACACCACCATGTGATTTCATGTGTAGTTATCATTCTTTTATTTTGTTTTTTTCAATGTGGAAGAAAATTGTTTGACGGTTTGATTAAACTATATATTATTACTATGCAATGATAAGTCAGATAAATGTTATTCTTTCATAAGTTTTTTTTCAATAATGTTTTAGTTTTTATTGTCAATATATATATTTTCAGAAATTATTCTGAACACAGTTATTTTAAATGTAGGTCTTGCGTAAAGCATCAATTATAAGGAACCAAAAAGATACTGCGCATACTAAGGCTGAAAGAAATATCTTGGAAGCTGTAAAGGTTGGTCTAAAGTATATATATAATTTTTATCGATCGGACGAGATGTATGCTTTTTTGCCGTCTGATTGTCTATATTATTCTGGAAGTATAAAGTAAAAGTTGTACTTATCAAGGAGATATCTACATTTATTATAATGTTTAAATAATTACTAACATGTAGTTATAAATCAAAAACATATATTGAAACATATGTATATTTGTATCTGGCAGCATCCTTTCATCGTAGACCTTATGTATGCTTTTCAAACTGGTGGCAAATTGTATTTGATCTTGGAATATATGTGTGGTGGTGAATTGTTTCGACATTTAAATGATGAAGGCATTTTCCTTGAAGAAACTGCTTGGTAGGTGAACCTATAGTAGAATCATCTTTCTAATTACAACTTTCTCGTATACTTGCAACTAAGAAGAAAACATTGTATGGATTTTATTTGTGCAGTTTCTACTTGTCTGAAATAATATTGGCGCTTCAACATCTACATTTACAAGGAATAATTTATAGGTATTTAAATTTTACATATAAATTTAAAAGTAATCACATATTTTTGCTTAGATCATTAATATATTACTAATAAATTTCCAGAGATTTGAAACCTGAAAATATTTTATTAGATGCTGAAGGGCATATAAAATTAACTGACTTTGGTTTGTGCAAAGAACACATACAAGATGGTACTGTTACACATACATTTTGTGGTACTATAGAATATATGTAAGAAAATTTTATTTAATACGATTATAGCTAAAATTGTCCAGTATATTTACTTCAGTACTAATTGGTATGTACAAAAATTTAAAGGGCTCCAGAAATTTTAACGAGAAGTGGTCACGGTAAAGCTGTAGATTGGTGGAGTCTTGGAACTCTTATGTATGACATGCTCACAGGTTCAGTGAGTATCTTTTAATATATTTATCTATTAGACTAAGGAATAAATAAGTTTTATCTTTCTTTCGTAAATTCAGTTTTACTTAAAACATTTCGCAATAACTGCTGGTTAACAGCATGTTTTTCATTATTAATGAACTTGTGAATTTTCTCTAAAATTTTAGTCATCTATTTATCATAAATATGCTAGAAGTTATATAATTGCTCATAAAAATTGATTATAAATCTTTTAACGCTTATATATTAAATTTTCCAGCCACCATTTACATCTGACAACAGAAAAAAAACTATTGAAAAAATTCTGCGCGGAAAGTTGAATCTCCCAATGTATCTAACACCTGATTCCAGAGATCTTATTCGGAAGTTATTGAAGGTTAATTTTTCAAATTAGAAAGTTATTTAACTTTTTATTGAATCGAAATGTAAATTTCTATTGATCTTCTACAGAGACAAGTTGCTCAGAGATTAGGGTCCGGTCCGTCAGATGCAGAACAAATAAAGGGTCATCACTTTTTCAAGCATATCAGTTGGCACGATGTCATTTCCAGAAAGTTGGAACCGCCTTTTAGACCAACATTAGCAAGCGAGGATGATGTGTCACAGTTTGATAAGAAGTTCACAACATCGGCGCCAATAGACTCCCCAGCCGAATATACATTAAGTGAATCAGCCAACAGAGTATTTCAAGTGTGTACTCTTGTTCTCTTTTTTTTGCTGTAGTCGAATAATCCTAAAAATCTCATTCTGTAAATTTGTAAACAAAATTTATTCAACTTCAGGGATTTACATATGTAGCACCTAGTATACTAGAGGACATGTATTCACAGCCACGGATTATAAATGCTAGAAGTCCATGTAGAGGTAATATGCGTGGTTTTTCACCGCGGACGACACATTTTCATTTGCATAACACACACGTACAAACTCATAGGTGAGTTACTTTTTCTTTGGTATTATGTCATTATTACGCGTTACGGTTTATTTGGTACGATATTCATCTTTGTACGTGACGATCCTGATGATTTATAGACATAATGGAGTCGGACACGGCAATATGGAGGATACAGAAATGATCGAGATAGGCTAACTGCCACTTGTTTTATAGTAGAAAATGCTTAGCATTTTGGCCTAACTGCTGGATATCCATGACCAAATCCTTGTGTCTCAGGGAGGGATTTTATAAGAATATAGATGGAGTAGCGAAAGGATAGGTCCAATATCCGGTACTTCGTTGGATATCCAGCAGTTAAAATTTAGCTAATTTTTTTTTAAATCAAATTTAATTATAACAAAGGTACTAATTAAGATTATGCTTTAAGAACAGCGACGCAGCAGTTATTTGGTAGTAAGTAATAAAGTATATATATATATATATATATACTTTATATATATAT